ATACTATAATTATATTTGTGACACTGAGAGTGTCATTCACCTCCATACACAGTCTGTGAAACTACCCAAGCCTTTTACGATTAATTTTATGGAATTATTCGCATTACAATATAACATTGTGTATACAGCAACCATTCTTAAGTTCTGGTCATGTATTTGCTTTCATCAAAATTCACTCATTTGAACCAAAGCCTGAATTTTAAATTACCATAGTTTTTTCTGATTCAACTAGTATCACAATTTTTTATTACACAATTGTGGTACTGCTCACAGATAGAAAAATGTAAAGTATCTTGATAATAACCACTTATTCTGGAACAAGTTGTTTGTGGAAGCACTCAACAAATTAGATTAACATGTTTGAAACTATTAGTAGTAGTACAACTCAGAAAAACATATATTTTACCAATAATTTTGTAAACTTATGAAGTTATTGTTTTTACTTTTAGATTTGCACTTATAAAATTGTATAATAATATAAAATGCCACTAACCATTTTCCAACTCCAACTTCTTAATTTCTAAACTAAAGCACTCCAATGCCAGTTTAAATATGAGAATATAATGCCTTTACACATCAGCCAAAAAGAAAAACATTATGTGCTAATGTAGTATGGCATAGCATATTTTGAAATTAGTGTTAGAGTTCATGCGAGAACAATTAACAATTTGAAAAGAAGATCTAATGTTAATTATCATCTGGCACTACAAGTTATTACTTATATTAACTATATACTATAGCTTCATGAATCAATAAACGAAAATGATGCACACCATGAGGTGTGTGATACACTGAATGTAGTGTAACTGTAAACGTGCTTGTGATTAGGCATAGCTTTGTCGCTAGTCAGTAACTTACTCAACTTCTCAAAGAAAAAAAAAAAACACAACACTCAACAACCAAATCTGATAGTAATAATAAAGTAAATAATAAACTTTAAAAATATATATTAACCTACTAGATATAAAGCAAATAGTGAAAACAAATATTTTACACATACCAGGTTCTTTAAAACAACATCGAAAACTGATAAAGTTTTATTCAACCACTGTTAACAGTTATTCAAAACAATATAGCACCAAACAAACTGCTATTTACAAATCATAAACACCCACTAAATCCCATGACTCATTTAAAGTAGCCATATCTGGTCTTTTTGCGCCATCTATTAAGGTAAACATATAACGCTCTCAACCTACAATAGTCGACGACAAAAATATTCCCATGTAAAAAACAAATTTAAATCCATGAGAGTTACAATAAACCGTTATAATTTGAAAAGAATCATCATAACTATATTTGGTACAAATAAACAAACATGTTCTAAAATAACCTAATAAAATTATATATTTGATAAATAATAAAATTTGTGATATTTTTAAGTTTTCGTTTTTCTTTACCACCAGCGGATCAGCGGTAAGTCTGAAGGTTTAAAAGGCTAAAACCTGGTTTCGATATCCGTTGTGGGCACCACATTAATAGCCCATCGTTTAGCCTTACGCTTAACAACAAGGAAACTTTTTCCCTAATAAAAGCAAAAACCTAACTAAAATACAAAATTAAGTATGATTAAGGCTCCTTTTTTAAAAAAGATGTTGTTGATTGTAAATAAATTTTAATCTTAGGATTATTAACAATTTTTATGGCATACATTTTCATAATTTCATATTGTTCATATTGTTGTAGCGTTGTGCGTTCGTTAGTGTGTCTTCCAAGTTATCTGCCGAACACAATTCAACATTCAGTTCACCTGACAATAATATATTACTTTATTTCATCTTTTAACGTCTCTACAAGCTTGAAAAAGTTGCATACTATCGCACATTATTATAGGTCTACGTTAAAAGTGACGCTCAAACATCTATCGATCTAGATTTACTTGCACAGAGTAATTGCGATAACTAACACATATGCACTGACTAATTAAATCTCTCTTGTATTTATAATATAGCTTCGAATGTACAGAAAAATTTAAGTGTCAACTTACAGCTTTTTAGATGTTCTAGGTTTATCTTAACATCATGCACCCTCTAGCTAACACAAAAATTACACCATTAAAAATATTATTGTGGATTTCCCCCAAAACTAGTGATGAAACACTACACTAAATTGTCTATTCACCAAATCTTTTTGGTGCTTTTCTCTTCCAATGCCCATGATATAAATACAGGATGACCTCTTGTCCCATATCACCACTGTCTGTATTATTGATGGGGGGGGGGGGGGTGATTGCGTGAATTCACAGGTGGCTCATCCTTGATCATCTGAAAGTAGTCTCAGCAGGAGCTCTGGACTTCTCACTAGGTTGACTTTCCACATGCAAATTCTTTTGTGGAGTTACCCAGTTGACTATTCTTTCACCAACATACTTCCAAGGATGATCATGGTGGATGATATTTGGCTTGGGCTGCCTGTTTTTCTGGGTTCTGTAAAACACAAAATTGGTTCTTTTAAATATAAGATATGGCCAATCCCAACACTTGCTTTACTTTGGAACTTTTCCTTCTTGCAGTAGAGATTGTACAGTGATACTATGCTACGTTGATGGGATTGAGTCTTATCAGCATTAAAATCATAACAACTTTTCATTTTATCATCAGCTAATCTACGTCTTTTGTGGGTATAGTCACATCGATGGTGCTCCTTAATATTTGTACATATTCTTTATTAAGACTCCTCTGAGTGACTGTTCATCAGACAAGAGTGAAGTAGAATCAAGGACACTTTAACTTTTCTCTCAAATATCAGTAATGATGGTTTGTTATCTGTAGCTTCATGTTTTGCAGTTTGATAACTCATAAGTAGCAATGAGAGATCTTGATCTTACATTTTATACTGTTCATACACATAAATATCTAATTGTTTTACCAATGTACTGTTGTATCTCTCATCAGAGAAAGATGAAGGACTGTCGTCCTTGTCCGTTCTTTTCCTAGGATCTCATACATTTTTGCAAACAAGGTTGCTTCAAAATTCCATCCTTGATCTGAGTGAAGTTCCATAGGCATATCAAATCTTGAAAAAATCCAGTTACGAGTTTTCTTGCTAAACTTTCTGCTTCCTAGTTAGGAAAAGCACATGCTTCTGGCCAATGGTGTATTTATTCCCACTGTTACTTTGTGGCAAGGGACCAAACACATAGACAGTAACTATCTCAAGTGTTGCTTCAGTACTGCTTCAGTTTTCCATACTGTTTCTTTTGTAATTTTTTTTATTTATTGGCAGCATAGTTTACACGATTTGTACCAATTCTACAGAATTTCCTGGCACCCCACTCAATAGTGTTCTCTTACTCTCTCTAGTGTCTTCTCAACAAATAGGTGTCCAGCCATTGGAAGGTTGTGGAGATGACAGAGTGTTTCAGAATAAACACTGTGAAATTACTAACTGTAGTCTTGTTTCTGTCTACTGGTATCTTCCCATTTCCAATGTAATAAGCCCTCTTGTAAGCATAATGAATCCGATTGTGACCAATATATCTGCATTTGGGGCTGTATAGAACAACTGTTTACCATGAAGGTCTTTCTGCCCAATACTTGATCCAATTAAAAATTGGTTTCAAGCTCGTATCTTTTGCCTGTGTATCTTTTAGTTGAGTGTTGTACTACATTAGTTTTTCATCATCGCTTGTGTATGTCACATCTTTGATTGTACTCTGCTGTAATTTACGTTGGTAGTCATTACTATATTGTGCTACCATCTTTTCCCAGTGTTTACATTCTTCAGTACATGTAGTCTATGGGCAATATGTCACCAAGATGTTAAAGTTGTACTCCTATAGTTTTGAAGCCGTATCATTATATGGCCTTCTGGTTTGTGAAAATTTACTAGACACTTCAATTCTACATGATCTGTCTGAAGTGTTACCTTTTGTACATATAGCTAATGGTGGAAATTAGTTACATTTCGAACAAAACTTAGTAGCTTTTTCGAGTTGTACAATATCTCCTTTTTGCAGCATTAAGTGCCTTGTTATAGTATAAAATCACATGCTCTTTTCGTGTTATGCTTGTAACAACACTACTCACACTGTAAAATCACTAGCATGTGTATCTAAAATGAGTGGATCTTCTAGAGTTGGGTATGCTAATACAGGATTGGTGGTCAGTTCCTTCTTCAGTTTTTGGACTGCTGTATGTGAACAAGCATCAATATTTGACTTTTCAAGTAGTTGGTGTAGAGGACAAGTTGTCAAAGAATAATTTTACAAAATGATGACAGTAAGAGCACAGTTCAAGAAACAATCTTATATCATGTAGGTTTTTGGTATTTGGAAATATTGGACAGAATCAGTTTTTGATGAATCTGTTGAAACTCGGCCTCTACTGACCATGTGTTCCAGAAAACTCACGTGTTGACGAAATAATTCATAATATTTGGGTTTCAGCTTAAGGTTCTCTTTCCTTAAATAATACAGAAATTTCCTTAGTTTATCATACACATTATTAAAAGTCCTTCCATGCACAATAATATCATACAAAAGATGAGTACGACTTTCCAGGGTAGCTCATACAGAGCACACTTCATTAAATGTAGAAATGCAGCAGGTGCATTTCATAATCCAAATGGTAATGCAACAAAGTGCCTTAAACCATTTCCTGCAGTAAAGGCTGTTTTCTCTCTCAACTTGCTTTGTCAAATTGCACTTGCAATATCCACTCTTAAGAACCAATGTTGAAAACCATTTTGATTCAGATTGGGTATCCAAACTAGAGTCAGTCCTTGGCATTGGATATTTCTCCATCTTTGTGCTGCCATTACCTTCTGGTAATCCATATAGAACCTTATAGATCCTTCCTTCTTCTTCACAAGTACAATACGTGATGTCCAAGGACTAGTATTCGGCTCTATTACTCCATACTTATGCATGATTTATATCTCTTTAAAAACCTCAGTCGATTTTGCAAGTGGAAGTCGTCTGGCTAAATAACTGACATCTTGTGAGAGATTTTGTATGTTCGACCGAAGTCTTGAAGTCTATTGTCAACTCTGGTTATAAAGCTCTTGCAAGTGAGGTGGTAAGCTATCTTTATTTGATGTTTTCGTATAAGACTTCCTATATCCTTCCTCAAAGATGACAATTTCTGATGCTCTTTGATGTAGAAGTACTATCTGTACAGCCTCACATCTTGCCATATCCCACTCAGATTTGACTCGAGTTTTATAGTTCGTTGTTTTCAGGGTTCTAATTATGACATCTATAGCTTTCAGATTCACTAGAGCTTTACCAATCATTAATCCACCAGGACACGTTGGTGTGCTTAATTCTATTAAGGGCTAGTCACTAAAAATAACTATATTTTTAGCAAGTCTTGGTATGAGTAGTTCAATTCTTGGTAGTGCAATGACTACTTTCCTTGCTGTCGTTGGTGTAGGAATTGTCGTGTAGGGATTTCCTGGTCAAAGACTATGAAGCTACTTGAAGCTGGTCTAACTTTACTTTCATGTTTCTGCATGAAGTCAATTCCCAAAAGGCATTCTTCCTCGACATCAATTATCCACACATCATAAGATGTAGAAAAGCTTCAATACAGTAAGGGTAACTTCCAACTTTCCTTCAACTGGAACTTCTTTCATCATTGTTGGAGGCAACTTCCAACTTTTTTTTTACCAAACAGACTCAAGCTATTGTAGCTGTGTCAATCAGAATACCGTAAGGCCTCCCATCAATAAACCCGTAGACTCGAGGACTGGTTTCTTTAAATAATGAATGTATTATCTCATTTGGGGTAGATGAGGTATTTTAAGCTGAGCTTCATCCCCACAAGTCCAACTAATTCCTTATCCAGACGTCAATCTGGTTAAACTTGAGGACTCATTGCTGGTGCTTAGTCTCCTTGGTGTATTAACGGCCGTTGATTCCTCACAGTATCGGCCGTAATTACTAGTTTTTCACATTTTTAACAATTCTCTTTTTCTGGTATCTTTTGGGAGGAGTTCTTATTCTCTAAATGCTTTTGTCTGCAGTTTCTGGCAATATTTGTCATATTTGACACACCAGTTAGTTTGTGGTTTCTTTCCTCTGCTCTGTGTAACTGGTTGTCTAAGCGATCCTTTTAGTTCGTCAAGATTATCGTCAGGGAAATCTGGTGATTTAATATTACGCGATCTGCTGATCCCGTAACTTATATATGGTGTCTTTAGTTGTTCATCTACAT